AACGCAGCTCTCGGACCCTTCTTAGTTCTCCAGGTTTTATCATTCATTCTGGTCTTATCCTTATTAGTTTTCTTGGTTTTATCATTCATACTGGTTTCATCCTTCTTAGTTTTCCAGATCTGAAAACTTTAGAATGGGATATCCTTAATCCCGATCGGTTTATTAATATGGAGATTAATAACACGAGGAGAACAAGCATTATTTAATCTCGAGATTTAGAAAAAGAGTGGATCAAGCCTTAATCCCGATATCCACCATTCAAAAGTTCCCAGCTCAGGTTTTATCATTCAGTCTGGTTTCATCTTTCTTTCAGTTTTCGTTTTATCATTTATACTGGTTTCATTCTTGTACAGTGTTCCATGATTTACGCTTCATCTTCAGGTTTTCTGGTTTCAGATTTGAACTTATTCTTCCAGTTACGTTTTTTCCATTTCTCCAGACTTCCTCTTTGTTTCGGGATTCTTGAAAATCCTGAATCCTGAGAGTACAACTAGAACAAATGTTTACGTTAAGGATAATCTGAAAATTGAATTTTGCTGTTTTAACAGAGATCCCCAGACACCTGGAGATATTTAGGAATTCTTTGTTCCAACCCTGGTTAGAACTAATATATCTTTAATCTTCATGGTTTATTAGAGTACTTGATATTAAACATAAATCTAACCCTGTGGTGCTGATAGACCGAGTATGTACTGCTCAAATCCCTGATATTTCGGATCTAACCTTCCCTTTTTACCATTCATGCTTATTGTTTTATCAAGTCATTCTCATCAATATTTACAATTACAGGATATGAGTCTTTGCCTCAAACTAATCCCAATATCTTTGCAACCTAATGTCGTAGACCTTAGATACTTCAAACTATGAATTCTGTTAGATCAAATAATCTAAGTTTGAAATATCAAAGGTTTACACCATTACATATAGAGATTAGAAAATTTGAGTTTGTCGCAAAGACTCAATTCTTTGTAAACTTTATTTCCATTGTCTGCCAGCTTTCCAGCATTTCCAACATTTTCTGTTGAAGAATTGATCTTACTTTGCGATATTTTAAAACAATTTTTACCAAATTTTCCGCTCCTTCAGGGAGTTCTTTTTCTCCCATTTTAGAACAGGTTTTAACAAAAATACTTGTCTCTGTTTCTGCAAAAGGTATCATTTGGATCTCACCGGGGCTAATTTTTCCCTCAAAACAAACATATTTATTGCACCGCTTCAAACTTAATATTCAAATTTTTTCTATTTTATTCCTGCTCACATCATGCTCACCGTGGACTGTGTTTAGGTCAAGTTCTGCAAACGTAACCCAGGGTTTATGGACAGTGTGAGACTAGGAGCAGTTCGAGCAATTGACGAATGTCAGTATCAGTTCCGAGCTCGGAGATGGAACTGCTCAACCCTGCAGGAGAACTATAACAAGCAGGTCAACTTCATCAAGGCCCAGCTGGGGAGTAAGATGACCGGGACGGATATGACCGGAGGGATGTCTATTCAAGGATTTCCATCCTTATCAACAAGTTCAGTTTACTCTAGGGGTGCTCTAGCTGCTCCAACATATGCTAAACCCTTCAACCAGGAACCAACCATGAATGCTATGGTTAACTCCTACAGTGCCTATAGGTACAACAAGAGAGAAGGACGGGAGAGAAACAGCAGAAATATCCGGGGAGGAAGGAACAGGGGGAGAAGGAAAGGACGGAGCCGCAGCAGTAAATGTAAGTACCTTGATATTTCTCTTATCTTGACCAGGATTCATTACGGTTTGTAAATTGAGTTCTCTATATAGGGATCTCACTATGAGGGGATACATCAACACTAGAGTATTTATCATTCTTGATTTATTCTCCGGGCTCAAGAAGTGAATATTAAACCCTCTGTTTACAACCCTTGCACATATATAAACATTGCATCAGTTTAGGTTTAGTATTCCTTCTCCCACTCCTCTCCGTTTACACAGTTCTACCAACCAAGCATTCAATCTTTATTTAAATATTGTTAAATTCAGTTTATAGTTAAAAACCAGGTCAAAATCAAACGGGTTAAACAACGATTTTTGTTTCGCAAAAAATAATATTTCTATTTATATTCGTAGGTTTTTTTAAGATTTCCCAAAACTTTGATAAATACTTTTGCCACCCTTCCTTATCCACTCGCCAGGGTTTCATAGATCAATAAAACATAAAATTTTGTTTTTAAAAAATTGTAAAAAATGTGTGTCTGTATGTAGGGTAAATGTAAATTTGTGTGTTGCGCTGAGTAGAGTTGAGAGTATTGAGTGGTTGAATAAAACAAGGATTTTATTGTGTAAAGATTTACATGGATTAAAGGGAGAACATGAATCAAGGGGTAAGATGGGGAATATAAGTTTATTTTGTACTTATATAAGTTTAACTGAAAGAAATTGGTAACATTACATGTGTATAAAGCCTTTTTTTGTCAAGAAACTGAATACCTGCAACAAATTATAGTGTTCTAATCCTTATATCTTTGTAACCTTATGTCGTAGAACTTTGACATGAAAATATATGGGTTAAGAAAATTAAAGTTTTTTGCAAGTAATTGGTTACGTTTTTTCTTCCGCAATTTTTAATGATTTCTACATTGCGGAGCTTGTGGGTTTCACAAATGTTATACATTGAGCAATGGGCAATTTGACGCATATGGTCTCTATATGTATTTTACCTGTGTAAAGTGTGGTATATTAAAAGGATAAATATTTACAGTTTGAGTTTGCTCAAGTTTGCCTGGTTTGATTGAGTTGTTTTGTTAAACCATGTTATCATATAAACCCTGTGTACTCAGCTCATAATACCTAGAAAAAGATGTGGAACACAATACATCTATTGACAGATCCTCCAGCTGCCAGGGGTACATCTGCCGCTAGCAACTACAAATTAACTCAGTATATTTCTCCTCGCTTATAGCTTTGGGTCATCCTACATCAGCTGTCCCCCCTCCCCCCTACCTCTCTCCTTCCTTAGTCCGGATACCGAAATTAGTGGTTGGTGATAATAGGGTTGAATAAAGGAAACCGCACTGATTATCCAGAACCATTTGGTGTATTCTCCACAGATCATAATAGTTTTTTCAACTAAACTTTATAATCAAATTAACTGTACATTTTGAGTTATGAACCTTTCAACATCTTATGAAAATCTGACATTTTTTGGGCCAAATTCTTTCTATTATTGCCCTATCTCCTTTATTATTATTGTTATATTCCAAATGGTCTAAACCAAATCCTAAATTGAATTTTGTCTGGTAGTGCTCATAAATTGAAAATTGAGTTTGTGCGGAGTCGTGAGGGGATTATTGTCTCTCAGCTCTCTCTCTCTCTCGGACGGAAAATGTTTAAGCTAAATATCCTGCCAGGTTTTACTTTAATACTAGAGTTTTCTGCCAGGTTTTACTTTAATACTAGAGTTTTCTGCCAGGTTTTACTTTAATACTGGAGTTTTCTGGCAGGTTGTACTTTAATACTGGAGTTTTCTGCTAGGTTTTACTTTAATATTGGAGTTTTTTGCCAGGTTTTACTTCATTACTTGAGTTTTCTGCCAGGTTTTACTTTAATACTAGAGTTTTCTGTCAGGTTTTACTTTAATACTGGAGTTTTCTGCAAGGTTTTACTTTTATACTAGAGTTCTCTGCCAGGTTTTACTTTAATACTGGAGTTTTCTGCCAGGTTTTACTTTAATACTGGAGTTTTCTGCCTGGTTTAACTTTAATATTGGAGTTTTCTGCCAGGTTTTACTTTGATACTGGAGTTTTCTGCCTGGTTTAACTTTAATATTGGAGTTTTCTGCCGAGTGTCACTTCAATACTTGAGCTTTCTGTCAGGAACTTGATCTCCCGGGAGGAATAGTTTATTTAAAAACATAATAAAATTATATTGATAAACAGTTTACACTTCATACACTCCGGGATACAGCCTCGGATAATATTCCAATATTAGGACGGTTTATTATGTATTTATGTTTTAGTTAGGGCTGGGGTATAATTGCATTCTTTCCTGAGGAGGAGGTGGGGGGGGGCTGAAAAAGATGGGTTGGGATACATGCAGAGGGGATAAAAAGATTTGGGGGAAGCTAACAAATAACTGAACATTCGCCACAAATTCTAATTTCTTTGCAACCTGATGGTTTAGTTTTTTGATATTTTTGACAATAAATTCTGTTAGATCAAAAAGTTTAAGTTGGAAATATTAAAGGTTTTGCAAAGATAAAATGAGTGTGGGTCGAGTATTTTGTTCCTTTTTAAATAAGGGAGAGGAACATGAGGGGGGGGGGGTAGATGAAAAGAATGAAAAGGTAGGAAGAAGATGGAAAATTTTGTGAGTAAAGAGTTGAATGAAAATCCAGGAGGTCTGGTTTACTCCGAACCTAGAAATTATAGAAGAATTCCAAACCTTGATCACAGGGTTCAAGGGAAGGGGTGTGACGTTAACATTGACCATTCAGATCTATACACTGTAATTTAGATCATTATTCAGAGATCTATATTTAGGCCGGTAAATATATAGTAAATACCTCCCCCCCTAAAACAGAACACCCCTTTTACTCTATACTTCCGCTGCAAACCAAATCAATATCCCAGCTAGATATTTATAGAATTTTATCACCTATTAAAGCGGAAATTGGAAATGATTATGATTGTTGATGAAAGGTTTGTACTCATTTACGCAACCAGTGAACCAGAATACATCTAGATAGATCAGAAAATAGCTTAAATAATTAGAAATTTCTGAAATATCTGGGACTGGATTATCCCAGCTGGTTCTCAGCTCTCCTCTCATCACTAGGAATTCCATCTTTCGTCCTTCTCCCAACTCAATCCAATCCCGGAGAGGATTAAACTCCTTCATAATTAAAACAATCGATTTAATCCTATTCAAGTTAAATTAAATACTGATGCCGAGTTTGTGTTTCGGTTCTTTCAACCCATTCTATTCATGTCTCAAGAAATATTTTTATCAATTATGTTTTTTTTAAAAAAAAAAACAAAAAAAAAGAATATTTGATATTTTGGATAACAATTTCCACTTTTTAGAAAATATTATGATAGGAAAGGAATTGATTCTTTGCCACAAACTTTGATTTTCTATTCCTTATATCTTTGCAACTCAATGTCGTAAGATATGTCAAATTATGAATAATCTAAGTTTGAAATGTCAAAGGTTTTCAACATCAGGTTTCATAGATATAAGGAATAGAAATACAAAGACTCAATTTCTTTGGGAAAAGCTTTTAGGGTAGATCTTTTTAAAACCTGTAAATGCTGAACAATTTCTCATTAAAGAAATAGGCTTAATTGTCTTGAAGTTTTAAAAAATCCAATTGAAAATCTTGAGAAGTGTCAGAAAGGAATTGAGTTTTGCCACAAACTCTGCTTTTCTAAACCCTATATCTTTGGATTCCAATGTCGTAGACCTTAAATATTTCAAACTATGAATTCTGGAATTGAGTTTTGCCACAAACTCTGCTTTTCTAAACCCTATATCTTTGGATTCCAATGTCGTAGACCTTAAATATTTCAAACTATGAATTCTGATCAAATAATATAAGTTTGAAATATCAAAGATTTACGACATTGGGGTTTAAAGATATAGGGATTATAAATTCAGAGTTTGTGGCAAAGACTCAATCAATTTCCTCAACATTTTGGATGATATAAGAAAATGTAGTAGTAGTAAACAAAATTCTCCTAATTTCCCGTGTATTGAGCTAAGATTGACATGTAGAACGGAAAACATGCTGCCAACAATGATTAGACACGGGTTCTACTTCTCTATACAATAATCTGCATCAAAACAGATGAAAAACTTAGAAATGTTTGAATCTGGTTTTGTCTGTGTGGGAGGGCGGGTATTGTTCTGTATTGTATATTGATGAACTCTTGGTACAGAGATAATCCCTCAACTTGTTAATCCTTTGAGAACCTCCCGAGCCCAGGGGCTTTTGACCCCCCCCNGAGTCAGGTTGGGGTTCCCTCCCACTCCTCCCACCCACCCCGGATACAATTCGACCTGGACCAATTTTAGTTTAATTAAAAATTGTTCACGCTCCTTGTGTCTCAATGTCTTTAACTCACCCTTTTGACAGGTTGAATACTAAATATAAATTACCTTTTGATTCATGAATTATCTTTATTCCAATTAGTTTAAGATGAGGCTCAGCTAAATTATAATTACTGACTCTAGTGTCTCAACCTATATATTTACCTAGACCTCGGGGTTTATCATCTTCAATACAAAGTTTAATCAACTCCAGGAGTAAGGTTCAGCTTAAGTTAATTATTGTTTATTTTCTAGCTCGGAGGAATACGGAGGAGGTTTTACCGATACAACTTCAAACTTCAACTAACGAACTCGGGAATATGACCATTACGGAGAAAGCATCCAACAACGATCTTAAGAAGAGAGAAAAGCAGACGGAGAAGAAGAGAAAGGTTTCTGAGATAGATAAATGGAACGCAGCTCTCGGACCGTATCCAGTAGTTTCTCCGGGTACCAAGGAAGCAAGCTTTGTTCATGCCATCTCCAGTGCCGGAGTTGCACACGCAGTTACTAGATCGTGCTCTAGCGGAGAACTAGAGAACTGTGGTTGTGATCGATCCCTGAGAGGAATGTCTCCGGAAGGATTTCAGGTAACAATTAAACAAATTTTAAATATTTTAAATAGAAATAAAATTTAAAAAAAAAATAAAGTTTAAAATTAACTATAATGTAGTGGTCTGGATGTTCTGACAATGTGGATTTCGGAGTTACATTTTCTCGAACCTTCGTTGACGCGCAGGATCGAAGAAAGAGTAGAAAAAATCCGAAGAGTCCAGTTTCTCTGATGAATCTTCATAATAATGAAGCGGGCCGGAAGGTAATGATCATTAATTACATAATTCTTAATTATCGAAATGTGTGAATTTATTTACCGGATTTTCTCAAGCCTAATTAATCGTTCTATTAATCGATCCCGATACTGTGAGTTTCTAAATCCCCTAATCCTTCCTACATGTAGAGAACTTGAGTCTCTGCTAATATTTTATGCAATACAACTTGTCACAAGTTGAAACGCTTTCGTGCCGGGTTCCAGGTTCCCAGAGTTTTCAACCTAATTTGATTTACGGGAGGTGTCTAGTTTGCGGTATAAGGAGGAACCAATTATCTGATTATGCTTGAGATCTACGTCCTAGGGTTCGTATGACCACGAGATGACTCCTGGTGGATGAAGATATGCTCCGACCGCAAGGCGGTTGTTGCCGGCGGCAAACTCTTAATATACCTATTAGCTGCCACCATATTGGTCACGCTATGTAATTAAGTTTGTGTAGTGTATAGAGTGCAGAGCTGCATGGACCACACAACCTGATTATACTCTAGAACACCCAACCTTTCTTCAAACCACATTTTCTCCATGAATAAACCAGATCCTTAGTATTTAATAGAACCCGGAGTCAAGTTGATGTTCCTCTCATCTGAAGTGTATGCGAACTCAAACCTATTTATAGAGGCAGCAAATCAAAATTGAGATATTTCATTTAGTATCCGCGGGATACACTGGCCTGGGCGCATCCTGCTGAGATATCTTAGTTCATGTTTACTCTCCCACTTCAATAAATTCCTTCCCGCCGCCTCTCCAACCTCTCTCCAGGGGGTGGAAACCTATATCATGACTTTCAATTAGCAATCAGAACCCTCCGGGTAATTGCCTGAATTTGGGTAATTCATTATCTAATATGAAAACATTTGATAAAATAGAGATTTGAACTGGCGTAACTCCTGGGTTTGATACTGGGTGGTCGAAATATTGCCGTGAGCTGGGTAAAGCCGCCATAATTGCATGGTAGCTCTACTAATAACACGAGAAGACGTTAAAACGCCCGTAAAGGTGCAAACACAGCTCCAATAGGGATTCTTATTTGAGATCATGTGATCTGTCTTGGTTTCCCTGCAGGCTTTGTGTAGCGGGGAAATTGCAGGGTTTAAGTAAATTATGTCTCAACTAACCGGGTTTGAATATCGGTGGTGGGTGGGTGGGTTGGGTTCGAGTAGGTTTCCTCGTCCTGTCGGCGGAATTTGAGTGCTCAAAATACCTCTTCATTAGGTATAATGGGTTAGGGAGAGCGCCCGCCTATGTATAGGTTGGATGACCAGTGAACTCCATAGACAATAAAACCTTGCTCAGGGTATGAATAGCGCAAAAAGTAATGAGAGGAGAGTAGGTTCAGCTCCGGGCTAAACAATGTGTCAAATAATCTCAGCTTGTATAACTTCATTATACCGTGACTGTAAATTTTACAGCATAAAAGCCCTCTATTGAAAATACCCAGTCTATTTGAATAGATATATATGCCTATTATGCATTAAAAGGTATACATTAACCATACGCACACCGTACTGTCTATAAACCCCGGGAGATAAGTATTATTATTAATATTAGATGTTACATCAAAAAGATTTTATCATTCCTGGTATAAAGGAATCTTTTCTCTGGTTCTGGTATAGATTAGCCGGAGCGTATGACAGGTTGGCCTGGGATACTATTGTCTGGTTGTCTCTATACTTCTCATTCCCCCGCCCCCCTCAAATATCTAAATGTATAGTATAATGGTGGAAAAGGCACAAGTAACATGTTTCAAATTTTGTGAGAACATTTATTCTACAAAAAGTTTCATGGATTTAATCCGTATTATTGTAGTTACTGGAGAAGAATATGAAAGTTGAGTGCAAGTGTCACGGAGTTAGCGGATCTTGCGAACTCAAAACCTGCTGGAGATCATTGGCTTCATTTAGAATGGTGAGTTAGTCTTCTTAATTCTTTTCTATCCTCTTAAACAGTGTAATTTTAACAGAACTAGTCGTTTTTAGTGTGAGTTATGCTTAAGGGTGGATAGGGTTGGCTCTCGGTGGGTGGTTTCCATGTTTTTAAGCCAGGGTTGGGTTGGTTCTATGTAGCTCCGGTGTGTGAATTAGCAGGTTAGCTGTCACCAGCACTAGTATTGGAAAATATCTGAATGGGCACAGTTTAGTTTCGGTTCCTTACTCGAGCTTCACTGGTTCGGAGAGAAGGGAGGGGGGGGGGGGAACCACCCAACGTTTCCTTAACTTCAACATTTAACTACAATACATTAGATTTTTTAACAGCGGGGTTCGGCTTTCTCATTTATTTTTAGACACTTCTTTACATACAGCAATGAAATGAAATATATTATAGAATTAAATCTTGCTTTCATCAAACGAAGGAAGGGCAGAAAATTTTATCAAATCAGAGGCCGCCAGAGTTTAGACACAAAAAAGCATAGAGGGGAATTAAATCAATGAAGATCGTCTGAACGAGTTGGGAAAATATGATAAATCAAGTTTAAATGAATAGAAAGAAAAGAAAAAAACATCTTGAATCAACAATAATTTTTAAACTGTTTAGATCGGAGCTATGCTAAAGGAGAAGTTTGACGGAGCCCGCGAGGTTAAGCAGAAGAGAAAGAACGGACGGAGAATGCTTCTCCCAAAGGATCACAGGTTTAAACCACACAGTGATACCGACCTAGTCTACCTCGTCAACTCTCCGGACTACTGTGAGCTGGACGTGAAGCGAGGGAGTCTGGGAACTAAAGGACGAGAATGTGACCCGGTATGCTACTTATTTTTCACCCTAAGCACAGTTATGTAGGATACAGATATTGTTTCTAAAAACCTGTTTCACTGCTAGAATTAATTTATTTTTATTTTCAGAGTTCGAAAGGTATTGACGGCTGCGACCTACTCTGCTGCAGTAGAGGGTATACTACAAGACGAGAGAGAAGGGTAGAGAGGTGTAAGTGTAAGTTCCACTGGTGTTGTTATGTCGAGTGTGAGGAGTGTGTGAGAGAACTACAGATCTCCACCTGCAACTAGAATACAAGTGATGAGATCACTTTATAGTATATATATATATATCCACCAGTATTTATGTACGTGTTTAATAACTAACCAAATCCTTTCTCTACACCACTCGGCATTCATCCAGTTGAAATATCACTTCTACTACTACTACTACTACTACTACTACTGCTGTTCTCAGTATTAATTCTGAATCCTAAGAGCATCCCTTGAATCCTGCTCTAGTCCGGGCATCCCTTAAATTTTGCTCTACGCGGAGCATGCTTCGAACCCTGCTCTAGTCCTAGCATTCCTCAAATTTTGCTCTGTATGATGCATCCATACAACCTTGCTATTGTCAGAGCATCCCTTGAGTTTTGCTATGAGCGTAGTTCGAACCCTGATCCAGGAGAGGATTCTTCGAATTCTGCTCTTGACACTGATTTGTTAAAACTTACATTCCAAAAACCAATATAATATGAATATATTGTAAATAATTATGTTAAGCTCTAGATTTAAGTTAGTAACTGTGAAATAAAACTAGGTAATATGATTATATAATATAATTGTAAAACTTTTATAAAACATTTTTTCTAACTGAGAGAGAGGCTGTTTTTTCTGAATGAGAGAAAGTTCTTTTTTCTATATGAGAGACAGATAGTTTTTCCCGACAGAATGAGATTGCTATTTTTCTCGAGAGGGAGAGAAAATTTTTCCTTAACTGAAAAAAACCAGATATATTTTTCCTGACAGACAGAAAGATATTTTTTCCTGACAGACAGAAAAATCTTATATTTTTTCATAGTGAGATAGAAGGACAGAGAAAGATAGATATATTTTCTGAATGATTTTTACGATGAAAATATTTGGTAACTCCAGAACTTAATGTTTTTTTTGGCCAGATGAAACTTGCAAGAATTGCAGTTCCTCAATTCTTTTATATTTATATCACTTGCATTTTTTTACACCAGACATAGTTCAGGACTTCGCAGTCAGACAAGTTTGTTCAATCCTAAGTAGAGATACTTTAGACGTAATTTCCAGTCATTTGTAATTTGTAGAGTAGTAAAGCACATAAAGGAATTAAATCTTCGTCACAAACACTGATTTTCTAATCCCTAAATCTTTGCAATCCAATACCGTAGATCTTAGATATTTCAAACTAATAATTTTGTTAGATCAAATAATCTATTTTTGAGAGATTAAAGATTTACACCATCCTGTTGCAAAAATATATACATTTGAGTTGGTGACATACAGTCAATTCCTTTCACTAGAAGGGGATCATTCATTTGAAGTACAGTCCCATTTTGCCTTATTAACTCTGTATTTGTACTGTAAAGCTTGTTTTAACAACTTTATAAAGTGAGCTTGAAGTTTACAGTGACAGGGTTACTCAGAAACGACCCAAAACTCTAGAAATATAACGATCTTAAGAGTAATTCCATTACTCTTGCCTTTATGCCAGAAATTCAGATTTTCTAATCCCTATATCTTTTCAACCCGATGGTGTAAACCTTCGATATTTCAAAAGACTATTTGATCTGACACAATTCATAGTTTGAAATATCTAAGATCTATGACATCAAGTTGGAGAGATTTAAGGATTACAAAATCAAGAATTGTTGCAAAAACTAATTTTCATTTCTCTTCAGCCATCACTATAGTACAGGGCTACCCAAAAATTATGGCACTATAATGACTATCGAAAACTCATAAGATACAACGAGCTGGAGGATGCACTTGTGTTGGATAAAGTCCGAAAACTTGAAACCGAAACCAGAGCTAGAAGGTGTCCTAAAAGAAATGGTGCGCCCTGTACTTCTTAATATCTACATCTAATTTGAAGGTACAAAAAAGGCAGACCACATTTTGAAAACTGCAAGACTAAAAGATTCTTTTGGTAAATATGATGCCGCGTCGTAACTTTATTCCCATGTTTTAAATGGACACCCTGTAGGAGTAGGAAATCTTTGAAAGTTTGTCTGATGAGTTTTGGTTTCACAAAAATCACCTGAAATATCCGGACTGAATCTCATTTAGGAAAATGTTTTATGGGTTGAATAAATTCTTAAACCATCAACCAAAGATCATAAAGAAAAAAGCACTATATTCGTAAGCTCTTGAAAAATGTCATCTTCAGTTTATAACATGCTCTTGTGTTTAAGAGTAAATTGGAAGTGAGCAGCAAAATTGTTTCAACATAAATTCATCCTTTAGCTCGTCGTGTTTAAAGAGTAAATTGGAAGTGAGCAGCAAAATTGTTTCAACACAAATTCATCCTTTAGCTCGTCGTGTTTAATGAGCTTTCGGTAGTCATTAAAGTCTCATCCTTTTCTCGAGTAACCCTGATTGCAAAGTTTAAATAGTTTTCAATTATTAAAAACGAAAAACAAAAAACGTAAAACGTAAAACAAAAAGCGAAAAACGTCAATTGAGAAACGAAATCGAAAAACGAAAAACAAAAAAACGTAAATCGAAAAACGAAAACCAATTTTCTAATTGTTTTGGTTAATATCTTTTTGTCCAAATAACAATATTACATGATGTGATAAAAGCAAACTTTGCAAGAATACAATTTTAAAAAAGAATTCTCATATTTTGTGGTGTAAAAACTTTGAATATTTAAAAAATTCCACGTTATTTTGAAATCTTAAAAGGCAGACCCAAATCATGAGGAATTTAAAAAAAAATACCATTTTGATAAAAAATTATGTTAGAATGATCACTAGTTCAATGTCTTAAGTCTTCTTTCATTACATAGCTGCAATTAAATCCAAAAACTGTGGAATAGGAAGACGACTTTCTAGAAATCCTCATGTGTATTTGATGTACTAGAAATTCAAGGCGCTTCGCGCCCTTCTTTCTGGGCTTTTAGGGCGCTTCGCGCTCATCTTCTATTTAAATTGTGAACATGTTCTTTTTGTTAACATTTAAAAACAAATAAGAAATTTTTTTTTTGCGGATTTAAAAAAAAAATTCGCGGATTTTTAAGAATTTTTTTTTTTTTTACAAAATTAAATGTCCCACAAAAAATTTGGGCCCGATCGGTTCAGCCGTTTTGACGTTTATTGGATACAAACAAACAGACAAGCCAAATTTATATATAGATTTACAAGACAAATAGTTTTATTTAGTAAGTTAAAAATCACTTAAGTGAAATGGGCCTGTTTACACTGCACGTCTGCTGTGTGTCATGTTCATTGGACTAGTTAGTCATAACGTTGTCTAAAAGTCGTTTCCCTATAATATAAATATCTTTATTAGTTCCCAACGAAATTTGTAAATTTTGCCTTTTCGCGGTATTTTTCAGTAAAGCGTTCTTTTCGGAAATTTTACCTCGGTTCCATTCTCACAGTGAAATAAAATCACATCATTCCAATTTATTTTGTAAACCCAACTTAACCATACAAAATTCATTATTAAAATTCATATTTATTAGAGTTGATATAACATATACATGACAATAGCTAGATATACAATACAATTAGGGCAAGGACATATTTGAAGATGACAATTTTATGAACATCAAAATTAGGAAATAACTTCTCACGAAACTCTCGTGATAGATTGAGACGCAAAAAAAAAAAAAAGATTTTTCAAATGTTTTCAATTATATTTGAATAAGCCTTGATATTTGTCTTTTTTTAATGTAAATGTTAAGATATTATTCATTAAACCTATCTCCAGAACACTGGTTCATTAGTGCAGTGATACAATATTTATACTGTAAAACCATATACAAGTATTTCATGTATTATTCATTAAACCTAACTCCAGAGCACTGGTTCATTAGTGCAGTGATACAATATTCATACTGTCAAAACCGTTTAAAAGTATTTCATGTATTAATTTTTTTCACAATAATTATTAACGATGAAAACAATTAAAGAAAAATTTTAATCAGTGGACAAATTTCATCAGAATAATGCATATTCATTAATTCCATTTATAGATTGAGATTCTTGATTTTCAGTGCAATAGGTTGGAGAGGATCCTGGAGCTGAAGGTTTGGGTTCAAGTTCTCCAGGTCTAGCTCCAGGATCTCGTTTACAAGGTTCTGAACCTCTTCCATGTTAATCAGCTCAGGGTCAGGACGGATCTCTTCACCCGACCTAAACATATTTAGAATTGTTTACAGTCCATTTACACGTTTAGATATATTGGGGTCATCTCCCACTGTGAACTGATTTGGAGGTCATCTACCGCTGAACTGATTAGGAGGTCATCTACAGTTGAACTGATTTGGAGGTCATCTACCGCTGAACTGATGGACGATTATTTTAAAAGTGTCACAAAAAATGAGGTCAAAATATGAGGGACAAGCTCCAAGTACATTCCTTGGTCAAAAGTAGTAACTGAATAGGTTGATTAATGTCGTCTTCTTTGAGTAGAAGTTGACTGTATAGTACGGAAAATCTATTTATTCCGAATGGAAAACACATAAAATTTATTGTTTCTCTTTCATCTCTGTACATACATTTGCTATAAAGGAATTAAGTCTGCGTCACAAACTCTGATCTTCTAATCTCTAAGACATTAGATTTTTAAAACTATGAATTCTGTTAGATCAATTAATCCAAGATATCAAAGGTACCATCAGGTTGTACAGATATAGGTATAATGAAATTAGAGTTTGTAGCACAGACTTAATTCTATTGTATCAAATGTATCGAGATGAAAGAAAACAAGAAAAAACAATAAATTTGATGTGTTTTCCAGTTGAGAAATAGAATCAGGTAAAAGTAAATTCAAAAACTTGGCAAAATCTTTTATAAATGATTAGAAAACATTAAACTTTGAAAGCTTCGAAGTGTTGATAAAATTAAATTAATCATTTTTAGAAGCTAACACTAAAAATTTTAAGGTCATTTGGGTGAGGAGGTCTGATAAAAATTTCTTGTTGGTTTAACCTGAGTATAGAGATGATATCTGTGACCCTGGAGTTGATATTAGTCTGTATTCCTGCTCGAACCAGGATTTACCTGAGTATAGAGATGATATCTGTGACCCTTGAGATGATATTAGTCTGTATCCCTGCTCGAACCAGGATTTCTGCTGCTTCACTGTTCTCACAAGCTCCCTCAACCACCTCAACATTTTATAATAAACTTTTAAGTCTAACTTATAACCTACATCTCTCTGATTTAAATCAGTAAGATATTCAAAACTTTATCTATGGCGGTTTGCAAGCTTCATTTACTTGATATTAAAAGTGTAACATAAATCTCTTCTGAGTTTGGGCCCAATCGGTTCAGCCGTTTTGACGTCTACGCTTTAATTAATACAAACAAACAAACAGAAAGATAATTTATTATATGTTTATAAATAAAAACCCAGATTTTTAGAAGTAATTGTGTTTGGAGCACTATTATGTTACTAGCAGACTCCAATGTACAAGTTTGCTTTTAATCCCACAAAGAATTTATTGTTACCTTACTTTTTTTAATCTTAAAAGGGTGACTTTTAGTTTTTATAAATCTGGTTTCAGTGTTGGTTTATATAAGCATTATATACTTGAAGTAACCTAGACGATATTGTATCCGGAGAAGATTGAATTTGAATAATCCGATCTAACCTGGAATAGGTAGATAAGCTTTTCCTTCCTTATTTCAGTTTTCATCTTGAAATACCGGAGAAGAGGAGAGGATGGTAGAACCAAGGGAACCTAACAAATGATTCAAAGGAACTATAATTTACTAATCAAAGGAACCATAATTTACTAATTTACTGATTCAAAGGAACTATAATTTACTAATTTACTGATTCAAAGGAACTATAATTTACTAATTTACTAATTCAAAGGAACTATAATTTACTAATTTACTAATTCAAAGGAACTATAATTTACTAATTTACTGATTCAAAGGAACTATAATTTGCTAATTTACTGATTCAAAGGAACTATAATTTACTAGGAATGAGAAAATATGAATTTGAAGTGAGTGTTCAGGTACTTTTTTTTAGCAATGAAGGAAAAACGATTAAAAGAAAAAAGGACTTATCTTTTTAAGATAATAAATTTCAAGATATGTACAACTATCAGTAAATTATTCTTATAAATGTCAATATGTCATTGTCTAATAAAATTCTTGAGGTTTTTGGAGTAATTGACAAACCTTTAATTGATTTTTTATGAGAACTTGCAACCTTAGGATCTACCCACCTCGTGATAGTGCGAGGAGAAGAGAGCATACGGAGACTCCTCCTGTCTCTCTACAAGGTTACTAATCACACCCATGAGAAGAGCCATCCCGTCCACAGGAGCAGTTCCTTTACCAAACTCATCAATCAGGAGAAGAGAATATTTATCTCCGTGTTTTAAAGCATGACTAACCTATAAAAAAAGAATATTGGTCGGAACTAATGAATAAAGAGAAGTGGATGAACTAGGAAAGGATAGTGGAACTATTTGTCGCTGTTCATTAAACCCGACCTCTGGGGACGGTGTTACTGTTCATAGAAAGACTTCTCATAGATAACAATTCAAATATAGTATATTTCATAGATACACAGATACAGACAATTTAAAGACACAGAATTTCATAGAGAATTTGAGACACAGAAATATCGTAAAAATACCAGTTCATAATATTTCAAACAAGAAAACTTTGGATAAAGTGCATAATTCATGTCTTTTTATCTGTGAAATGTCTATGCAATATGAAAAGCTAAAACTATTGTAGTTTCATGTTTATACCTGATTAATATCACATAAGAATGATGATAGACCAAGACTGACGGACTCCACTGTTTGTATCCTAGTAAACAGCTGATGAAAAATAGGTATCCTAGCCGCAGCAGCAGGTACCCAACAGCCCAGCTGACCCAGGTACACGATCAGACCGATCTGTTTCATGTACACACTCTTCCCGCTTGAATTAGGACCTGAGAGTACATGAATCCTACCATTGTCTCCACCTAGTAGAGTAGAGTTGGAGATAAAAGAAGTTACATTTAACTCCTGGAGAGGGTGTCGTCCGTCCAATATTTCTAAATAAAATATTTTTAAAGTAATTCCTTATAGACCCTTTATCTAAATTCATAACTGTTCCCTTTGCAATTTTTTTTTTGAAATTTCAGTGCTTTTATACATTTATTTTGTTCTGTTTTTTTATAAAGTATTATCTTCTCTTTTTATCTATGTAAATAAATCGCTGACTAAATCAGAGATTGTAACTTTTATTTTGATATTTTTAATCTTGAACGCGTGATCTCGATATCCAACGTGGACATATGAGGATCAATGCTTGATTCCTCAATGATGATCATACCTTGCGGTTTTTTCTGCAGGGTATGACCAAACACGGAATATTGTAGAAAGTGTTTAATTTAGTTAAACTCACTTTTGTAGAGAACCCATATATGAAAATAATCAATTTTCAAAATTATAAACATTAATATCTAATTCATACTTGATCAGACAAAGTTTTTAAGGATACTGTTGTGAATCTTTACAAGAAGGAGAGGCACTTGAAATTACGCTTCCTGTCCCAGTAGAAGTGGCATAAATGAGAGTGGAAAGCCAATAAATTTAATTCCCGATAAAAATAGAACCCTTAATTGCTGACTAATAACTTTGAAACAGCGAAAACAAAAAATGTTGGATTTGGAAAACCCTAAAACTGATAATCTGAACCTCCTTTCATGTTTCCTAATTTCTTCGAAGCATTTTGTTTATTTTTCCTTGAATGCATTCAGAGCACTTAGTATGAACAGATATTTATTCAATCTTGTTTATGAGAAACATTCTAGGCTTCGAGGCACTGTACTCTGTACACTGTACAGACACAAGGACAAATAGAACATTTATTAAACACATTGGACAAAAGGGACACTTATCAATGAAATTTAAAGGACAATGGTTAGATTTTATGTAAAAACTACATAACAAAAAGATATTTAATCGACAATAAGGACAAAAGGGACACTTATCAATGAAATTTAAAGGACAATGGTTAGATTTTATGTAAAAACTATATAACAAAAAAGATATTTAATCGACAATAAGGACTATTTATGAAGAAGAATTATATATTATGATCAAAACGAACATTGGATACAAAAACAGGAAAAATGTGTATTTTTTTAACACGAGCTTACATATCGCATGAAAAAAAAACAGAACAGAAGTCATACTTTGAAATATCGTAGGTCGACGACATCGGGTTGCAAAGATATATGGAATAAAAAATCAGAGTTTGTGGCAAAGACTCAACTTCTTTATTGAAATATATTTTCAACACCGAGTTTCATTAATTTTTTTTCAGGCGGTCTTTTAACTGTCTACCAGAAAGGGAGTTTAAATAGATAGATATATATTTCGGCTAAAATCACAAAAAAATACATTTTTAATTTTATAATTTAATAGCCAAAGGGCCCGGCGTTGCCCGTGGAAAAAAAATTAGAAATAAAAAATTAAGATTTTTTTCTCAATCCCCCCCCCCCCCCAGGCCACCCATGAGTGTTTTATTATATAAGATAACTAAACAATCACTAACCAGGGCTACAGCCTAACCATTTCTGCTAAATTTTAGTTAAAGATAAAAAGAGGTATTCAGGATACTAGGGTGTATCAACTGAGTTGGTTATAGTTATGAAAAAGAAAAAGAAGAATATTAAAAAAGTTTTCACAAGTTTTCTTCTTTTTGTATTCTGATTAAATTCCAGGAAACTAATATATTTGAGTTTAGACGGACAAATATCAAATACAACAAATATATCCTTAATTAAATATTAAATATTTGAAGGAGGCTTACTTTTATATTTGGTAAAATCATTTCTAGAAATACTCAACAGGGTGTTATAACAGAACCTGATTAAAGGATTTAACATGTGGTAATTCTAACCTGAAGGGGGTTCGATATTTTTTTAAAATTTATAATAAGTGATAGCATTCCTTAATATACTAACAGGGACTGTAAGTGTAATTTCAAGTGACCCTCCATGCAAAGATGTCAATGCCCGATTTACAATGATTCCCGTGAAACCTTTGTCTGCTCAAGTTTGAATTAAATATCATTGTTTTTGTTTCTTTTTGTTTTTATTTTCATTCGTGATTTCTCTGGGAATGTCACTCGTGCATTGCTTGTTTAAAAAAGGAATGGAGATTGGAGAAGCTACAAGAAACAATCGAAATAATCACTTTTCGAATCAGAAAAACGACATTTTTGATCTAATTAAGATTTAAAGGGTATCAGTGTGAATCTGGCATTGCCATCTTTGCATGGAGGGTCACTTGAAATTATGCTTACAGTCCCTTTTAAACAAGGATAATTAAAAAGAAAAATTCCTTCTATTTATTCTGCATACTGCGAACAAATTGTGTATTTTTGTTGTTATAATAAAACAACTCCCCAGAGAGCATGAAGCTAACTTGTGTTTAAAATTGTGAAAAATTAATTACTTTCAGCCATTAGAACGTCAAGTTATGTTTTTGCTAATTAATTCATTAAACAAAAGTCAAAAATGTACATGATGTATAATGTATATCAACATGCATACAAATCAATAGCTGGCAAATTTTAATGAAGTTTACAGACTTGAAAATCAAAAAGATTTACTTTCATGTATTTTAATATATACGATGTCCATCAAAACACGGACAATTAAATGTTTATTTCATTATTGTATGCATATTGCAAAAGTCGTACATTCATATTATTTTGCTTATAATTTCCAGCATTTTTTTTTAGGGGTGGGGGGATTCACCCATGTTGTGATGTTTATTTTGAAAACCATCCCCAATACATACCTAGAGATCCGTCCTCAGCTAGAACAGGTTTCTTCCAGTTGTTCTCCAAGCTGATTATGGACAGGGAGAGAATACAATCTAGTTCTGCAACCAGGTTTACTCCGGTCTCAAGGTTTCCAGCTTCCTTGATACTCATCTCATCTACTTTATTCAGGGGGAAAGGGGGGAGGGAGGTTTTATCCAAGCGAACCATTTTCAAAATCCCCTTTATTTGAGTGAAGAACTCAAATTTTCTAATCCTTAAATCTTTACAACCTGTAAACCGTTGATATTTTGATTATTTGATCTAACAGAATTCATAGTTTGAAATATGTAAGGTCTAAGCCATTGGGTTGCAAAGATACATGTAATAAAAAACTTGAGTTTGTGGAAAAGAATCAATTCCTTTTTTAAAAATAAAGGTTTCACAAAATATGCCGCGTTCTTTAAATTTAATTTCTTTAAAACTAATTTTAATATCTCATAAAGTATAATGTTATCCCTTTAGTATTGCTTCAGAGAGTTTAAGGAGAATGTGGGATTCTAATCTCGTGATATCCAGGAAAACATCTCCTTAAAATATTCAAATCTTAGATTAACAAGGAACAAATCTATTTCCAGTTGATTCATCAAAATATACCGGGAGCTACAGAGAAAAGGGATTGACGTGTTCTCTAGTGATCTCCAAAATCCATTTACTTATGGTTCGGAGCTTCGGATCCACAAAAACATAGACCCCCCCCCCCNATGTTGACCTATATTTATATAATCTATGGACGAACCGAATGTTGACCTATATTTATATAATCTATGGACGAACCGAATGCTTGATCTATATTTATATAATCTATGGACGAACCGAATGTTTGATCTATATTTATATATTCTATGGACGAACCGAATGTTTGACCTATATTTATATAGTCTATGGACGAACCGAATGTTGACCTATATTTATATAATCTATGGACGAACCGAATGTTTGATCTATATTTATATATTCTATGGACGAACCGAATGTTGACCTATATTTATATAATCTATGGACGAACCGAAGTTGACCTATATTTATATAATCTATGGACGAACCGAATGTTGACCTATATTTATATAATTTATGGACGAACCGAATGCTTGATCTATATTTATATAATCTATGGACGAACCGAATGTTTGATCTATATTTATATAATCTATGGACGAACCGAATGTTGACCTATAATTATATAATCTATGGACGAACCGAATGTTGATCTATATTTTTATATTCTATGGACGAACCGAATGTTGACCTATATTTATATAATCTATGGACGAACCGAATGTTGACCTATATTTATATAATCTATGGACGAACCGAATGCTTGATCTATATTTATATAATCTATGGACGAACCGAACGTTTGATCTATATTTATATAATCTATGGACGAACCAAATGTTTGATCTATATTTATATAATCTATGGACGAACCGAATGTTTGATCTATATTTATATAATCTATGGACGAACCGAATGTTTGATCTATATTTATATAATCTATGGACGAACCGAATGTTTGATCTAGTTCCATCATTCTCTCTGTTTTGAAATGAACAGCCCCATTGCTCTCAAATATGAAATGATAATCTGAGAGAAGGTTTTAAACAATATTTCAAAGGTTTGAAGCAGATTATTCTTTTAAAGGACAGAAAATTTTTACGTTATAATAATTAGAATATTGCTCAATTTTAGGTGTTTCGTGTAAAATAACTTTTAGTTCGTAAAAAACAAAAAATGACGAAGTATTTAAAAAGTTGATTACAATTCACTTAACAGAAATTAACGCGTAGCTAAAGTTTTGGAACTTTGAGAGTAGAAAAGTAGAATTATTTTTGTTGAGGTTTTTAATATTTTTTTACATACAATCTTCAAACCTTTTTAACTTATTAACTTGGACCAATATTTTTGACTAGAATTTTACAAACTAAGTAAGAACTATGCTGGAAACGATTACTAAAATTAAGAAAGACTTAGAATTTTTTTAGTTTTAGCTATTGTAAGACGACGGAAAAATTTCTACGAAAAAAAATAAAATAAATATATTATAAATAAAGATATATTTTGTAAATCCCTTTTTTCAAAATTCTGGACATTTCCCTTTAAAGAACATAATTAGAAATAGAATATGAAAGGAATATTTAGGTTCAGTTAAAATTCTTTTTCCTTCCCATTGCTTGCGGATATCACTGATGCGTGTAAATAATAGGCTTTAAAATATTTTCTAAGAAAAGAAAAGTTTTCAGTTGAGATTTTGACAATTTTAGAAAGATTTAGGTTTATTTCTCATTTAGATATTTGAAAGATTCTTTTAATTCTTTAAGTTTTAGAAAGGAAATTTCTAATTCTTTAATTTTCAATTGTTTAAGAACTTCTCTCCTGGTATATTATGATAATCTGCCATCTCCGGGTTCCCATCCAATGGTAGAGCAACAACGAACCCAACCTGAGGGATATAGGTTACAGTGCAGACATTCAATCCAACCCCAGGCAACTTCTTACACTCCTCCTCAGCTACTGTAGATAGGAAACCTGGCAGGGAGTTGTGTAAACTTTTCTTCTTATCCAGCTCCGGGTATACTCCAGGTTTAATGGTCAGGGTTTCAGAGCTCATGGAGCTGTCGAAATCAATAACCTGGTTCATTATCGACCTGAGATTATAAATCTGACGGTTGATAACTGTACAGATATCCTGAAATATTGGAACCTGTTCTTTGTGGTTCTTGACGAGCTGAGATATTGCTATCATCCCTCCTAGGGACTTATACAAGGTTTGCCAGTCCATCATAGACATATGGTTAGAGTCCAACCTCTTCATCAATCTGTGAAAATTCTTCATGGACTTGAGAGCTTTAATAAGTGACGCGACGAATTCTTGATTCTTTCCTGAGTTTAGAAACGCAATTGCTTCGTGTCTGTTCAATAGTACCTTGATATCTGCAGAGGGACACCTCAGCATACGGTGCAGATATCTTGAACCTAGAGAAGTAAAACAACGATTCATATAAGAGAACATACTTAATCCTTCCCTCTTCCTGTTCCAGCTTCCAGCTCTAGATCCGCTCTGTTGCTGGGTAGAGCTGTAGATCTGAAGATCGTAGAATGCCGCTTCATTCATAGTCAACACTTGTTCAAGACCCAGATTCTCTACAGTTAATATTCTTGAACTCCCAACCTGGAGAGAATCATCAAGATCCAACCCTGAACTAGAGTTCTTGTCCAGATATTTAAGAAGTCCTCCAGCGGCCCGAACCATATTCTCACAATTCATTCCTAGGTATGCAGAGACACGAATAAGTTGCCATTCTTCTGATCTAGCTGGAGGAGTTAAATTCATATTCTGGAACCTTCTCCTACAGGTCTGATACGCAAACTCTACTCCAGGACGAACTATCGTGTTTATCTTCTTGTAAGCAACATCCTGTCTTGTATCGTTCATTAGACAGGTAGAGTTGACAGAACTAATGTTGGAGTCTGCTCCGCACAAGGATTTGATCTTGTTTCTAAAGGTTTCGTCCTGTCGAGCAGAGTAGATAACATGGTTAGGGGCAGTCTGATGAATTAGACTGGAGAGAATCTCGAATTCTGGACCAGCATCCGGGAGATCATTGAACAGAGATAGCTTGCAGGTCAACGTGTTATAAAGAGCACCACCCAACCTACCTCCTCCAAAGAATAAAGAAAGAAGATTTTCTTCCAAATCTTCTTCGTTAGAACTTCTCAGATTAAAGTCTCCAACACTATTTCTAAAATCTGCCGCATTGTTGCTGACACTCAACCCTCCTGAACCTACTCTAGTTGGGAGAGATGGGACGGAATTCACGCTACGAAGAGATTTTGAGCTCCTAGATCTTCCAAACCCCGAACTGAGGTCCGGATTGTTTCCTGATGGGGTTGTCTCCTTTTCCTTCCATGAGTCTAAGTTCTGTATACTCCAGGAGGAGAGAACCTGGTTGGTTCTAGATCTTATCTCCGGGATACAAGCTGATTCTCCCTTATTCTTTCCTGTAGAAAACTCCATAAAATCTTTACTAATTTCAGTTGGGTTGGATGAACAGTTGAAGCTCTGAGTTTGAACATTATTCTCCGATCCTAGATTAAATCTTGCTCCGAAACATAATTTGAACAATGTAGTATCTTCTACTGTTCTCATATCAGTTCTTAAGTTTTCATTAAGTTGAGTCTGCTGGAAGAGATTAGTTTCTCCTGAGTGGGTTTCATCTTGTTCATCTCCTGCTACTGTATCCTTGAATAGATCCTGAGTCCAGGAAAAGTCTGTTGTCTCGCCTACAGGTCTCTATAAATATAATAAATAGACAAGCTGACGGTCAATTCTTCGAAAAACAAAATGAAAATTTAAAAAAAACTTTTATCGAATAAGATTGCAGTATGGACAGGATCAACAAGAATGTACCCCCCAACAGCAAAATAAACTTTTTAAATCCAGTTTCTGGTAATTTCAAATTAAAAACTGGGCATACTCGATTTACAACGGTACAACCTTTATCAGATCAATACTGTTGCTTTTTTAGCTTGAAAAGTTTCAATTTTGACAATTTTCTCCCATTGTATCTGCAGTGGAAATGCACACAATCGAAAATTTTATGATTCTTAAAAAGACATGTAAATGGTGAGTCAGTTGAAATTACGACTACAGGGCCCTTGAACCCAAAATCAGATATGTTATATCTTCCATATTAAAAAAATAAGGAATTATTAACATATGGAAACCTGTCATAATTTTAATTTAATGAGTATTGAGTTTTAGTGACAAACTCAAATTTTCTAATCCCAACATCTTTGCAACCTGATGGTGTAAACCTTTGATATTTCAAACTTAGATTATAGAAACAGACTTCATAGTTCGAAATATCTAGATAGAAGGACTAGATAAACTCAATTCCTTTCCAACATTACAGAAAACTTGAATAAATATCTCCATGAAAGAAACATTGTTTTACCTTATTATTTTGTGCAGGATTCAGCTCAGTGCCATCATTAGGAAAACCTCTAAACAAGAACAAAAAGGATTTACTGTTAATTTCTTAGGAATGTAATTTTTATCCGAAACTCGCAATTTTATGATCTATATCTTTGAAACCTGATGTTGTAGACCTTTTATATTCCAAATTCTGCTATATTAGAAAATTTTGAAAAATGTGTATATTCAATTTGTTAAAACCTAAACAAGAAAACTGAACAATAAGGATAAGATGTGAAGATAAAAAAGGTCTAATTGTTCTTTTTTATGGATTAAATTTAAGAATTGAGAGGTAAACATTAAAATTTTTAAATGGCATACTTTTAAAAAAAAAATTCTTATGTGCATAATTTTTTGTTTTTAATAGTGGCTAACAATAGTTTATTTTGTCAAAGTAAAAAAAATTGTGTTTAAATCAATCACCGTCATGCTGCAAAGATATAAAGATTAGAATATTTTAGTTGGATGGGTATGTTCAGTTCCTTTAAAACTTAACTAGATAAGATATAAAAATAACAAAGGTCTTTGTTCCTTTATTTTAGTTTTTTTACGAATTTAGTTTAGGAACTGAGAGATATCAACATTTGTTAATTGCTTATTAGCTATTTCAGATTTAATATGTTTTTCCTTGCTTATAATTTGAGAGTTTTCATTGGGAAAAGTAAATCATGCCAGAAGACAATTTCTATGCAATATCAAAAATTAGTTTGATATTTAAATAACTACATTATGTTGATTAATTTTGTTTTATCAAGTTGAAAGGGGATTTTCCAACAAAAATAATATACCTTAATTGAGAAGTTAATAAAAATCGATAGCGTGGATATTAGAGAAAATGTAAATCTACCTTCTCATGATCGTATCTTCTATTAGCTTCTCTTTCTTGGAAGCCGGTTCTTGGTTCTCCAGGCTCAGCTCATCTTCTTCTCCGCTGTACTCGTTCTCGATCTCATCCAAGCTTAAGTCGAACACGGATGTGAGACGGTTTCCAATCTTTTCATTTTCTTTAGAACCAGATCTAAACCTTGGTAAGCTAGACTTATTTTCTGTTACAAAGGGTGGTGAGGACTCTAGGTCCGACCTACCGAATAAATCAGACGAACAGATTGTATGATGCCCAGGGTTGATGTTGAGATAAAATCCAGGTACATGGTATTCACCAACATTAATGGATTTCTCTTCATTTGAGGAAACCGTCTCATGTCGTCTTTTTCTTATTGAACTATTGAACCTTTCATCTCCATCTGAGTACTGAGGTTTACACCCTGACTCCCACTCCATAGTATGCCTGGATACCTGGTGAATTGAAGAATCTTCTGCTACAATACTATCAAGGAGCTGTCCAATTGTTTCTCCAGGGTTCTCTTCAACTCCTAACTTGCGGAGCGGAAACCGTCCTTCCTCATGTTGGTTGCTTTTATCTTGGCAATCCCAGTTAACTTTTTCCACCATCCTTAACATTGGTGTTAATTGATTTAATATAGGGTTTTCCGTCCTATTGAGACAACCATATTCAGGAACTGTGGGATGCTTTCCCTTTACAAGAGAACCCGGAGAAGGACCAGATAACTCTACAACAACTGGTGACCCCTGAGAAGATGATGACAGTGGTACTAAATCTGAAGGGCCCTGATCAGCAAAGACAGATGTCTGACAATGTGTCTCTTTATCTAACAGAGTGGAAGAAGGTACCACCAGTTTTTCTATTTCAGAAAAACATTGAGGGGAGACCGATGATCTCTCATAACCACTTGAATTCTGCGCTGAGAATGTTTGCTTCTCCGCACCACGAGGTTCAGTAGGAGGGGTTGATTGATGGACGTTATTCAAAGAAAAGCCAAGAGCAGGGGGTCCCATCTGGGCGTCCTTTAGAGGAGGGCCAAGGGCAGGGGGTCCCATCTGGGCGTCCTTTAGAGGAGGGCCAAGGGCAGGGGGTCCCAACTGAGCGTCATTTAGAGGAAGGCCAAGGGCAGGGGTGTTCGGCGGGATGTTCGTTATAGGAGGAACATGAAATGGGTTTGTCAGCTGCTTCTGAGGAGGGTCAATATCAGAAGTTGTTACCTGGATGTCATTTTGGGAAGGGGCAATGGCACAAGTTGTCATCTGGATGTCATTTTGGAGAGGGGCAATGACACAGGTTGTCAGGTTGTCTGAGCAACTCACAGGATAATACATGGGACTTATATGCTCCGTGTAGTTTAAAGCGGCATCTAAATCATGATGTTTCGATTCCGTGATGATTTGACGGGATTCGTGAACAGGACGAGTTTCCTCATTACCGCTCGGAGCGAGATTAGGAGTAGGACTCGGAGAGGGGCCAAAAGCAGGAAGAAACAAATCTGTGCTGCTCGGAACATGACCAGGATATTGGTTTATCCGCTCCACCCTTGAAGTAAAATGGAGAGGTTGGTAAATGTTCTTCTGGTGATGATCATGAGGATTTAAATATTCTTGATCTAAATTAATTAAATTTACAATTATATTTATCTCACTAAAAATGTTTAGAGAACACAAAAATGTTTAAACATATTGGTTTAAAAATTATATAATAAACTAAAATGTGATTTACTTATCACTTAAAAACTTCTGAAGAAATTTTAGTCTTATATAATTTTAATCTGTTTGATTAGAATAATCGCTGTTTGATACTGTAATAACATTGTAAAATTTAGAAGTAATAACCAACAAATAACCAGTTAATATTTAAAGTTTTAAACTTATGGAATTAATCTTTAAATCTTAATCAAAAATTCAACCCAAAATAACACCTTTAAGATGTGGTGGAGGAACTGGTTCCGGGCGGGTTTGGTTCTCCTCAACTCCAGTCTTGTATTCTCCGTCCAGGAATTGACTAACTGAGAGATAATTTTGAGAAGATTTATCCAAACTAACAGGGCTGTACACAGATTCAGAACCTTAGCATTTGAAAATAAAAATATTAGAGAGATAAGGAAACGTAAAACTTTGGTTCAAAAGAATTTAGTTTTTGGCAAAAACTCAAATTTTATTTGTAACCTTCGATATTTTAATCTTAGATTATTTAATCTAACAGAATTCATAGTTTGAAAAAGCTAATGTCTACGACATTGGGTTGCAAAGATATAGAGATTAGAATATCAGAGTTTGTGGCAAAGACTCAATTTCATTTCATTGAACAAAGCTGAAAATTGAGTTTTTGATCAAATAATTCAAATTGTTTCCTAGATTAGTTTTGTTGAAATCTTCAGAAATATCCTGGACAGTATTTTCTCCTCTGAGCCCAAGGACGGAGTCCGTCCTGTGCTGATCCAGGAATACCCTATGCTCCTCTACCCACCTATTTTTCCGATCTCCAGGTTGGATGAAGACCTGTGCGGACGGAAAACTAGGCTGGTGTGAACTATATTCAACTTCCATTAAGGTGGGATCTTCATCATTTCTTATATTCTTCTCCTGACTTGTGTGAATACTACCGATCTCAACCTCTGTATTAGGTTCAACCCTGATCCAGGATTGAACATTGTATTCAACTCTACCACCTGATGTATAAGTATCCTGTACCCTCCTGACTTGAGCCTCCTGGGAGTAAAGTCGGGAGTTTTGAATAGAAGCATCCAACCTATTCATCCAGGTAGTTGTCGTATTCATTCTTTCTATTCTAGCAAAAACATAAAAATAAGTTTCAGGTATTCGCGGATCACTTGTAAGAACGACAAAGATGTTTATTTAAAGTTTTTATCAACATATCAATTTTTCAAAGATAAACAGTGACAATTGGGTTTGTAGTTTGCTAGAAAACAAAATAAAATTTAGCTATGTGAGAAATAGATGATCATAAAATTCTAGTTGCTAGAAAACCTCATTAAGGAAAAGCTAAGCTATAAGCATAATTACAAGAAGATCATCAAAATAAAGCTAATATAACTAGTTAAATTTAAAAATCGGAAAATTTTCTATGCAGAGGGGCTCTGTTCCTTTTACAACCTGGCTATTTCACTCGTGTGTCCCACCTCCCCCCTATATAAACACCCAGTTACGGCCTTGTGTTCATGTATGAATTATGAGATTGAATATTTGCAACAAACTCAAATTTTCTAACCCCTTTATTTTTTTCACCGGATGGTATAAACCATTGGTATTTAAAAAATAGACTAGTTGTATAAAAAGAATTCATAGTTTGAAATAACAAAGGTCTACAACATCAGGTTGCAATGATATAGGGAGTTAAAAATTATATATTTTGTGGCAAGTGTGTAGTTCCTTGAAGCATAAGCATTAAAGAACCTTGCATATATTAAATCTATTTCTTTATAAATGAAGGGATAACCAGTGTATGAATATATTTAGCTGAGGGGGAATGATACTAAAAGCAAGATTAATATCCACCATTAAACTAGAAATTAGATAAACAAAGAAGAAGATTGCTAGGATGTACAGGGTGGTCTGAAATAAAGACAACAGGTAATTTTTAGATGAATTTTATAGGTAGGAATATTTAGAGGTTCCGACATCTAAAATTCAAGTTTTTCTGGTTTGCAGTGCACATGTAAAACTTTTTTTCAAGAGGGGATATCTTCCTTTTTACATCCAAAAGGAACTGAGTCTTTGCCACAAACTCAAATTTTCTAATCCCTATTTATTTACAACCTGATGATGCACACCTTTGATCCAACAAAACTCATAGTTTTGAATAATCTAATGTATACGACATTGAGTTGCAAGGATATAGAGATTAGAAAACCAGAGTTTGTGGCAACGACTCAATTTTTTTAACAGCTTTTCTAGAATGCAATTCTAGTTTCAAATTTTCTTCAGTGCCATACAAAGATTTGTTGAAATCAAACTGAAAGGGTACCATCAGGAATCATTTTCACCCCTTTATAATTCCAAATCCCATTATTGTTTGAGTTATTCTGGAAAGGTTTTGTTGAATCAACTCCTCGACACCCTGTATCTGGAATGTGTCTGTAAGTAAAAACAAACTTGAATTTAGTGGTTAGGCCTGCTAATTCCTAAATATCTGTAGAGAAAGGGCTCTCTGATCCTTGGTGGGGATATTGATCTGAGAATGAGTAACAAACAAGATTAGGATAATAAACAGAGATCACACCGGATTAAACATTTACACCGTATTCCGTGAATATATTTATAGTAAGGTTAGAATTAGTCACATACAATTTACTCCTTGTATATATACATCATGGACTTGTATATCTAGGGACTTAATCAGAATTGTGACGTCTTCATTGGAATATATATATTATAGATGTTTTCGGTGGGATTAATACCGAACTGTAATCCCTGTGTTTCTAAGTCCCTTGAATATACATTGCATATATCAATCCCCACTTCACTAGATAACTAAACTATTCTATTTTAGCTGATTTTAGGTATTTAACACATTCATTGCATGAACCCTACAAGATTAAATATACAGGACTATATATACTTACCATTGCTTTTCTGCATATACAGGGTCACCCACCTGGGATAAGACTATTTAAATATGTCGATTCCAAGGTTGAATTAAGTTTTCTGATTTGAAGAGTCTTTTTATGGCCTTTTCAATAATCTTGCAAAGTTAGAAACAAGTTTATTGTTGCAGAGAATCCTAATTGTAAGGAAACAGACAATAGAATCCTGTCAAGTCGTCTCATCTTGTAGGTAGCCCTGTACATTAAATGCGTACATACACAAACATCAATGGGTTGAGAATTAAATATTAACATTAATAAGGATTTTCAGTAAAGTTTCGGATGATTTAATTTTAATCAATTAATCACATTTTCATATTTGATCCTGAAAAATATTTGAGGAAAGAGATCTATAATTGTTTACAGATATATCATGCAAATATTTCAGGTGAGGGAAAACCCACCAGATTCAGATTTTTTATAAGAAGGACCAGACGTTAGCTATATTGTATCCAAGAACATTATTTTAGATGTATCTAGGAAGGACAATAGATGGTTTGTATCTAGGAAGAACAATAGATGGTTTGTATCCAGGAAGAACAATAGATGGTTTGTATCCAGAAAGAACAGTAGATGGTTTGTATCCAGGTTATTTAAATCCAGACAGTACACCAATAGGTTGTACTTGTATCCAAGAAGAAGTGCACCAATTGGTTTTATCCAAGAAGTAAACAGATGGGTTGTATCCAGGTTGCAGGTTAGCTAGGCTGTTTCCAAAAAAACCGGATGTGTTGAGTCCAGGAAGAAATCAGATGGTTTGAATCCAGGAAGAAACCATATGGTTTGTATCCAGAAAGAAACCAGATGGTTTGTATCCAAGAAGAAACCAGATGGGTTGTATCCAAGAACAAGACCAGATGGCTTGATGGTTTGTATCCAGAAAGAAACCAGATGGCTTGTATCTAGGAAGAAACCAGATGGTTTGTATCCAGGAAGAAACCAGATGCGTTGTATCCAAGAACAAAACCAGATGGTTTGATGGCTTGTATCCAGGAAGAAACCAGATAGTTTGAATCTAAGAAGAAACCAGGTGGGTTGTATCCAAGAACAAAACCAGATGGTTTGATGGTTTGTATCCAGGAAGAAACCAGATGGTTTGTATCCAGGATAAAAAACAGATGGGTTGTATCCAGGTTGCATGTTACATAGGTTTTATCCAAGTAAAAGACCAGATGGTTTGTATCCAGATTGCATATTATTTATGTTGAATCAAGATTAGATTTCTAATGTCCTGATGAAGTTATGTCCCTGCCTCCTCCTGGTCTGATGCCTCTGCAGAGTCCTGAAAGTGTCGGAAAACGTAGGAAACAAATGATTCTGCAGACTCCAAAGGTTCATCTCCAATCTTACCCTGAGAATAAAAATAAGTTTATTTCAGTGCTCCTGGATTTAGGAATTTTTTCTTTAAATTTTGAAGGAGTGAAGAAGAAGAAAAAATTAGGTCTGCAGAAGAAGGAAAAAAAAATAATACCTAGCTCGAGGAAAAGATAGGAAACATTAGCAAGCAAATAAGTAATTATTTATTTATGAAATAAAATAAAATAACAAAAAAAAACCATAAAATTAAATTATTAAGGAGAAAATATGTAAACCTCCAAAGTAAGAAGAAGTTTAATACATATAATCATAGAGATTATAAAAGGGATAAATAAGAAAACGGAAAAAGAAAAAAAATCCGGAATTCTGTTAACATAGAATAGAGACCAGAAATTAATTCTATCAAACTTACATGAATTGGAGCCGTGTAATGCCTCCACACCTTGAGCTGCTCCATGTTGGATCCGGATCTCTCCTTGGTATTAATATTTCCTAGCTGGCAGGATCTAGTAGTCTCTTCCTTCTCCTGGAGATCAACCTGGAGAGCTCCAGATCCTCCGCACTCACACTCCAGCAGGTCGTGACTCTCACACTCAGTATCCTCTCTAGTATTTCAGAAATAGAAATTATTTTACGAATTTAAGAATTCGTTGGAAACACTTCATCGATTTACTTTCCATTAAAAATTATTCCGGTTCAATAAATATTTGTGAAACATAATTTTAGTTCTAGAAAAAAGACAGAATATCCTAAAGTTAAGACAAGTTATGTCGTAAAAATACACCTGAAAGTGAAAAGGTCCCTCAGTTCCTCCCGAGTAAAATGAGCAGCGGATGAACCATCTCCTAGTCCTGCAGTCTCCAGGCCTCCTGCTAACCCACTCTTCGTGACTTGTCTCTGGTATATTTTCTCCTCTATAGTACCTGTAGTTAGGAGCCTGTATATATGACAGTGCCTACGCTGTCCGTATCTCCAGATTCGAGCCATCACCTAAAAAGAGATGATCAGTACAATAAATAATTAGAGAAAAAACGCCTGAGCTAGAAACTTTTAAGTAAGATGAATCTATAACTAAAACTTTTTAAGCTTTACTTATTTGATTTGCTGGTGTTTAAACGTATCAGCTGAAGGAATGTTAACCAATAACTGAATGATCGAATTAGAAGATTTCTATTCCCTAATTTTGTTCCAATCAGCCAGCCTGACCAATTAGAGTAGGGTTTGGAAAACTAACCTGCATATCCGTAGCAGGATTCCAGTCTATATCAAATAGAACTATCCTACTTGCTCCGATAAGGTTCAGTCCTGTTCCTCCAGCTTTAGAACTCAGGAGGAACACTCTAGTCTCCGATCCCTTAGCATTGAATTTATTTACGATCTGCTGACGGGAGGACGGAGGAGTTTTTCCATCCAACCTCAAGGTTGGCAGGTTGTATCTATCACAGAGGTTGGAGAGGAGGTCCAGGGTTGAGGTGGAGAGAGAAACAAGAACAATCTTCTCATCGCCAGACTGAATTGTAAAATAATGTCTCGTATTTTGTATTCGTCAAGGTTTCATTATTTTACCTGGATCAAGGTGAGAAGAAGGCAGGTGAGGACGGATAGTTTTCCAGACTGTTCCTCCCAGGTACTCGGAGATCCGAATCCTAATAATAGGAATTTATCTATTATGTTTTTTTCTGCAGTCAGAGAAGTGATTAGTAAAGTTCAAAAACACAAAACTTTAAATTTATGGTGATTACCTTGAAGATTGCTGTTATCGAGGAGATAAGGCGAATTACAGATCTTCTTGAGTGTTGAGATTGCAGCAAGATGAGCTCCGGGTTCAGATTCAACTTGACTCAGTAGCTTCGAAACCTGGCTGGAGTAAACAACAGATTGGAACTCCGAGGGTCTACAGAACACAACATTCACCGTCTTAGATGGAAGATATTTACGAACTATCTCGGAGGTTCGCCGGAGCAGGATATGTTGAGATATGGTGGATAATTTGGATAATGCTTCATCTGCGTCCTCTCTCTCCGATTCTTCTGCTCCGGGTTCACGTCCCTTCTCAATCTTGGAGACAAACTCAGAGTTGAATTTCACCTTGTTCCCTAGTAAACCTGGAGCAACCGTACTCACTAAGCAGAAGTACTCATTCAGATCATTCTGGACAGGAGTTCCAGTTAACAAAACCCTCTTCTCGCACTCTATCCGAGCTAAACAACAACTCGTTTTAATCTCCGAGTTTTTCAATCTATGAGCCTCGTCACAAACTATCAAATCCCATTTTATATCCTGAATCTCAGCCTCTGCTCGAACCAACAGTTCGTAGGATACAACAAGGATCGGAGCTGTGTTGTAAGACTTAAAACTCGAAACTTTCTTAGCTGAGTCGGCTACATGGATTATGATTCTTTCTGAACCCAACCATTTTCTGAATTCTTCAGCCCAGTTGTTTAGAAGACTAGAGGGAGCAACAATTAGAACTTTCCTGGCAAGTACAGAGCCCGCTACAGGAGACTAAAATACAAAAATGATATAATATGTTCAATGAAAAAAAAATACAAAAATTGTTTCATTTCTTTACCTGTTTTAGTATTGTCCAAATAAGGGCCACAGTTTGGAGGGTTTTACCTAGCCCCATATCATCTTAAAAAAAAAAACAATATTTATTTTTTTCCTTTGTCTGTTTACCTTTAAGAAAATTTCTTCTGAGAAGAAATGTTAGCAAAAAAACTGAGAAGAAATGTTAGCAAAAAAATTAAAGGTTGAACTAATTTCATTGTTAATGGATTGGTTGGTAATATATATTTTTTTCTATCCGATATTTCTGACGTCAAAGATGTAAAAATTAAAAAGAGGTTTCACTCTGGAGGGTAATCTTACTTGTGGTCAAGGAATTATACACAGGAACGACCACCTCAGATATACGCATTTTATGTACTGTACACTGTTGGAGGAATGTAAACAAACACAGTGCACCCACAGCAGTTGAAGGAAAAGGACTTAATGTGTAAAAAATCTAAGTTATTTAATTAAGGGGGAACTTTTTGGATTATAATAGAACTTAACAAATCCCACAAGCCGAAGCCATTTCTAAAATATATCCCTAAGATAAAAGTTTTTAAATTAACAAGAAAAAGATTTCTTGATTATCCAATTTTTAATACATTAACAAATTGCCAATCTTGCGTTATTACTTAATTTTGACATCATATTCAAGAAAATTTCCAGGGAAATATTCCATGCATCCTTTTTCAATAATGTTGATTTTAATGATATAAAATAATACCTTTTGTATGACAAATATTATCACACGAGTGGAATCCACATTTGAGAAGATTTCCACATTTAGTTCCACACTTCCAGGGGGGAGAGGAGCAGGGACGGGGTTCCTTAGCTTTCTCACAGCAACAGAACTGTGTACTGGTCTTAGAGCAGGGTGAGCAGGATCCAGGATGACAGGATAGAGGACAAGTGTGGATGCCACACGAGAGAAGACGACCACACTCTGTATTACAGGTCCAGGCTGATGCTGAACATCGTTTAATAGTTGGAGAAGATTTACCACAATAGCAGGTCACTTTAACAGTTTGTGGACAAGGAGGACACGGACCTAGAATAGAATATATAGTAGAAATTATAAAAGAATAGAACAGAAGAGACGGAAGGATTTTTTGAGTGTATTCAATACTGAGGAGTTTCTAGCGAGTAAAAGTAATCATAACTGTGGATAGTCAGGACAGTTTGCTGAAATAAACTTTCATCTTGCACCAGTCGACTTTTTAAAGAGTATTGTTTAAGTCAAATTCTTTAAAAAGTTTATATATCCCTATTTAAACAAGCCCCCCCTCAATGTTTAAATGCTTCCTCCCATTGTTTAAACCCTTCATTTCAGGATTAAAATTCTTCCTCCCAACATTTGCAACGATTGTATTATTCTTCCCAATATTTGAACCCTTCGTCTCACCGATTGAATCCTTCCTACCACCGCTGTTTGAATCCTTCCTCTCACCGTTTGAATTCTTATCCCGTAGTTAAAATCTTTCCTCCCAACGTTTACATCCTTCCTCCCAATATATAAACCCTTCCTCCCACCATTTAAATCCTTCCTCCAAAGGTTAAAATCCTTCCTCCCAAGATTGAAATCCTTATTTCCGATGTTTGTATCCTTCCTCCCAAGGCTTACATCCTTCCTCCCAATATTTAAACCCTCCCGTCTGAATCCTTCCTCCCAAAGCTTAAATCACTCCTCTCAAAATTTAAATTATTCCTCCCAACGTTGAAACCCTTCCTCCCACCGTTTGAATCCTTACTCTCGAGATTTTAATCATTCCTCCTCAAGTTTAAATCCTTCCTCCCAGTACTTAAACCCTTCTCCTGACGTTTGAATCCTTCCTCCCGCCGTCTAAATCCATTATCAATGACATGTTACTTCTTCTGAAACTTATAATTTAACTTTAAATGTTTTCAGGAGTGTGCTAAATTCAGCTGAAAAGAAGTCCTCTAAACTGGCCCTGATATATGTATGCGGATTTGTTGCAAAAAACTTCATACCAGAGTTCCCGGCCTTGTTAGAGGAGGTGGTGAGGAGAAAACAAATTGTGATTGGATTGATCTTAAATCTAGAGGATCTTTTTTATCAGATGATCTATTGAAGGAAGTGAAAATATTCCCAAAAAATACATGGAGATACCCTAGATAGGTAACTAGAACCTATACAAAAGACAATTAAGAATATAACTGCATTACTATAAAAGACATCTCTGGTTGTTCTGAAACTTTTTGTGAATGATAAGAATTTTCAGTAGATTCAAAAAAACAAAATGAAAGAATTAACAAGAATGCAAGAACATTTAACAAACAGCTCAGTTTATGCTTTAAGAGTAAGTTTACATTTTTGTTTAAAGCATGTAGATATGCATGTAGGTAGATATGCATGTAGGTAGATATGCATGTAGGTAGATATGCTTCTTTGAAAATAAATGTATAAAACGTCTAAATAAATATATTAAAATGTAAATGTAAATGATTTTCATCTTTTTTCAGATTTTATGTTATAAGGTTTTATTAACTTTTGAACGGTGAATGAATGAAATTGCTTGTTCCCCTTAAGTGTTTAAAGGTAGTGTTGTGAATCAGGCATGCCTCATTTTCTATTAAGGGTTACTTAAATATAAGTATACAGTCTCTTTAAGTATTAAATGCACATATAATGAGGATTTTTTTGCATACAAGTTCATGAACCAATTTGATTTGAATCCCTTGCTGTCTATTTTATCTCCTAAAATAGATCTTAATAATTGTCACTTTTTATGTGATTTTTCCTTCGATTTTATATCCAAACAATTTTTTAACATATCGTCTTACATTATGAATATAATCCTGGTAAATATAATTTCCATCTCCTGCCTTGAAAACAATTACTCACACGTATTAAAGTAACAGAGTGAGTTTCATAATCATAAATCTTGATGTTCATACCTTCAATAGCAATATGTTCTTATCCCCCCCCCCCCACACTCTCTACCCCTGCACAAAGGATGCAGTGCCCCTGAATTCTTTGTTTTGATCTCCTCCCACTGCAGCACACAGATTTGAAGCATCAGATATGGCGGTTCCTGGTTTATATATTTCTTGCTTGTGGTTAAAGAATTTTAACCATCCGTAGGGACTGCTTAGTATATAGTGATTATGAACAAAAAATATAGAAATTTAGATAGTGCCAAACGATTCAAAATATATATAATATATATACACTTTCCGGTTATCGTAAACACTCCCTTTTAGAGTATACTATCTTTATTCTCCCAATAAACATGGGAATTAAGTGACGACTTTTATATCGTCTTCGATCCATGTGGCATTTTTCATGAACACAATTTTTGCAGTATTCCGTTTTAAACATCTAATATCGAAAATGCCTGGTCTTCCGACTTTCAAAATGTAGTCTACCATTTTTGTATCGTTGCCTATAGCCGGCCAAACGGATTTTTTTTGTGGACACTCAGGGGTGTCTGGGGGGTGTTAAAAAAATCGAATTTTTTTTCCATGGGCAACGCCGGGCCAAAAGCTAGTATCTATTATTCGGTCAATTTTAAGAGACGAGAAAGGTATATTTAGACCACTTTATGAAATAATTTCTTAGCCATGTATTAAATATCAGAAATCAAACACGACTTTAAAGTCGTCTCTCAATTCCCATGTTTAGTGGGACACCCTGTACTAAAATACCTGCAAGAATCCCTCCTTTCAATGGATAATCTCCACTCTCTGTCTTAACAGTTCTTTCTGTAACCAAGGATACTACTGTAGAGGAAGATGACCCCACTGCGCTGATGTGCTCTAGATAAAATCTATGTATATAAAGTTGTAATCTCTGTTAGTTTGTATACCCGATCATAACTCAGGAACCCCTTAACCGATTTTCCATAAATTTTAATTGGGGCTCTCGGGAGACCCCACGGGAACGTTTTTAGCTTGGTTTTAATGAGTAAGGCCAACTTTTGTAGGAAAAAATAGCTAAAATCACAATTTACGACAAAGCGTGGTTAAACGGTGCAAGTAACTATGAAAAATATTATCTTTAAAAAATCTTAAGGATTTGTATAATTTGAATCGGTAAACACAAATTTCGACGAGAAGATGGTCTAGTTGACCTACTTGGCTAGTACACTAGCAATATAAACCAACTATCCGTACATAGGTTTAGAAGTGCTATATGAGATAAAAAGTACAGAAGAGTAAAGACATAAAACTAAGCATGCAACAAAAAAAGTGGTGTATGGTGCACACATTTCCATTTTTTAAAATCTATTCATAAAAATCTAATATAATGAGCCATGAAGGGCATTTGTCCCCCAATTTATTCCCGGGGGGACGTTCCCCCAATTCTCCACCTCCTGTATCTAAGAAACTAAAAAGTTAAATTTTCATACAGAAACCTAAAAAGTTAAACCTGGATCAAATGCTTATTTAATTGCCTAAAAAGTTTTAACCTGAGTTTTGTTCCAATATATGGATCTAGAACCACGTCTACTAGTTTACTAGTCCGGAGAGGATGGCCCAGAGGAGGTCGGGGTAGAACTAGAGATCCTTCACGTCCAGGGTCAAACATAGGTATACCTAGATATATGCTAGGTTCAATGTACACCTAGATATACAGGTTCAGTGTACACCTAGATATATACTAGGTTCAATGTACACCTAGATATATAGGTTCAGTGTACACCCAGATATATAGGTTTACTGTACAACTAGACATGTAGGTTCAATGTAAACCTGAATAAATAGGTTTAGTTACATATATATACAGGTTCAGGGTTCACCTAGATATTAGGTCCAATGTACACCTAGATATAGAGGTTCAGTGTACACCTAGATATATAGGTTCAGTGTACACCTGTAAAGAGTTTAACATGGGTAATGGGTATTACTATACATTACACAGTACACATATGAATTATTATATTTCGGAAACTTATATGATTTAATTTAATACCTGGTGTAACATTCCGTGCAGTAACAAACCCTCCTTCTCCTTCTCCTGTTCTCCGCGGGATCTTGAAGGATTTAAACTTCTCCGTCTGCAGAATTGAATTCAGGATTAGAGACGAAGGAGGCGAATCAACTTTCTTCTCCTCTACCTCCTTCTTCTCCTCATCTACCTTTCTTTTCTTCCCTCGGTTCATCTTCTCTTCTTTCTCCACATTTTCCTTGTTCCTACCTTCCTGCACCTGGGACACAATACATAATATATACTACTTCTCTATACTTCAAGCATGTCTCATTCAAGAGTAATTATTCGCCTTCATGAAAGGAATTATTCAGACATTCAGATAGGAAAAAATTAAGATATGCATCATATATTTTTTTAAATGCTGATTATCAGTTTCTAATCTATTTCAAGCTACAAATAACCCTATTTACATGACATATTAAGTTGCATACTAAATGGTGTTGTAGATTTCCGCAAGATAAGTTTAATTACATCAAATCTGTAGTATCTCACTTAAATATGCAAGGCATGCTTAAATAGTTTAAATTCTGTGAAAATGAGCAATTAAAGAAATTACATCTATGAAATATACCAAGATTCATTAGTGAACTCGGACATTTCTACATTTTGCAAATATGAAATTCTGCCAAAATCTTCCAAAAAGAGTTACACAGGAATTCAGTTCTTGCCACAATGCCAATTTTATAATACCTAAATCTCAACAACCAGATAATGCATACCTTTCATATTTCAAACTTACATTTTTTGATCCACCAGAATTCATAGATTGAAGTATATAAGGTCTACGGAATTTGGTTTTAAAGAAATTGGGATTTAAAAATCCGAGTTTGTGGCAGACTCAATTCCTTTTAATCAAAACAGTTTGTCATTGGTAATTTAACTAATTTAAAAATATCCCAATATGAAATAAGAACAAGCGACTTCTTTTAAAAGTCAGGCAAAAGAAAGAAAAGTAAAATTTTTTTCATTGACCTTGTTTGCCCAGACCTCGGCACTACTAGATCCTGTAATTTCTATTTCTTTACTTCCAACAGAAATGAGTTCTCCGTCATCTAAAGCCTGGAGCTGAGCAACCTTGTATCCGGAACCTCGTCCTATCTCCTTCCCGTTCTCGTCTATAAGAACCACGGTCCTCTCTCCAACCTTAAGTTGGGACAATTTGACTAAATAAATGTATTGCTGAAAAATTCTCCGTTTTTTTTTCTCGTAAAAGGATGACAATTCAAAAACAGTCTAGGTATAAGTTTTCGTTAGTAAACATCCAATCCACCAATCCAATGCAGAAAAAAATGTTAATGATTTTAATTTTGATAAAAATAGTGATTTTCGAAGGGAAAATTCGAGTACAGTTTGTGATAATATAAAAAGTACATCATTCTTGATTTCAACTCTTACCATACCTTAGCAAATCCGTCTCCCTCCCACTTCTTATGCTTTCTACCAGACTTTTTGCACCAGACACAGCAAAAATATTTACAGGACGAACTACTATCATTTAGTGAAGGAGCAGGAGTAACAGGGTTAAACCTAGAAACCGGAGCTGGTTTCAGGGCAGTTGGGACTGGTTTAGAACCTGTAACAATTGATCCAAGAACAGGGTTAGGTTTGGTCAGAGGAGAGCTGAAAGCGCGCGGAGTAAGATTAGTAGGAACTGAGAGAACGCTAAGAGGCAGTTCAGGTTCGCATGGGAGTACATTTGAGGTTTCAAGCATCGCTAGAATTTCCAGATTGGTTTTCGCAGATTTTTTAACGACATGCTCATGCAACCTTTTAGACGGAGCTGCAGACCGTCGCATTTTTGTCTGTAAAACAAAGAACAAACTATTTATACATTCAATCAAATTTATTATCACCGAACAGAAGTAAGCTCAAAAACTGTAAAATGCAATATGTAATTACTTATATGTAGGCCGTAGCACTATATCCAACAAAGACTGAAACTAAAATGACAAAACTAATCACATATATTTTGTTTTTCTCGTAAAAACTTTCTTCTTCCTCTTCTGTTTCTCCTCGTCTCCTGTTTCGTCGTTTTCTCTTCCCTCCCTCCAGCTGTTTTTCAAATATTTCCGCTTCTCTCTTTGCATGAAGATCCTCTTGAACCATATCTTTTCCAGATTTGTTCTTCTTCTCCATCTCTTTTTTCTTTATCTCTTCACACTCATCGTCGCACTGAACCGGATTCTCCGCAGAGTTCACGGTAAAACATCTAAAATCTTCCTTTCTTCGCTTGCAGGGACATGATAGTTTAACCCTCTTCTTACACAGACTTTGTGAAGAGCAGACTCCGGAGTGGCAGAGGTTTAGACACCTGTGCCCGCACTCCATCAACTTCGGGCACTGGTCCTTGCAGCAGAGAAGATCATGTTTATCCTTCTCCCCGCAACCACAGAACTCGGAGCACTTAATGAACAGGTTTCCAATCCCACAATGACATTTGAGCTTGAGGTTTACCGGACAAGGATTACAGGGTCCTGGATGACAACCCTGATTACAAGGATGGCTGCAACCAGCCGGTCGATCTATACCGCAAGCAGAATCACACTTTTTGCAATTAATCCCTGAAGATATATCGTCGGGAGCATGTCGAACTCTATGACATTCCCGTTGACAGGTGTGATTAGTACAGGGAAGTTGTCGGCCACATTTCCGGCCACAAGACGACGGTTTGGCTTCATGACACGGCCAGTTCGCAATCTCGTGGTTTCCCAGGCAAGCAATCGGTACTGGAGCAGTACATGGTGGACAGGGCAGTTTTTTAGTTTGATATACAGGACCTGTATCCTCCCAGGGACCTGCTGGTCGGCCTTTCTGCTCTACATGGACCTGGACATTATCATGGCAGGGCACAGTGCAGAAATGAGAACAGTCCAAGGACCTGTTGCAAACTTGTTTACACAGGGGACAATCTCCGGGATGACAAAGATGTTTTATCCTCTCTTTGTGATGACAATTTGTGTCCATTGTGCAGACCTTCTTGCAGCGCGGGGGCTTTGTATTCTTCTCCTTTCCACAGGGAACCGTGATCTTGGTTTCTCCACAGTTGCACACAACCTGGGTTCTCTGGGTACAGGGATAACAGGGACCTTGGTGACACCTTGATAAACATTTATGATTCTTACAGTTGAGGGTCTTCCCACACATCTGCTCACACGGGGCACAGTCTCCATCACAACACTTCTTGTTACAAGGATGCTTCCCACAGTCTCGGATACGTTTACATTTAACATCACAGGTAAACTGTCGGGCACACTGGACCTCTTTACTCTTAGCTCCACATTTACAAGATTTAGTAATCATCTGGAGGCAGGAGGGACAATTACCACGGTGACATCTATAATATAAAAATAGTTAGGAGTGATCAATCAATTAATCAATACCAATTAAATAGTGAAATGACGTATTGTAGCGGTTCATTTAATGATGCAGTTTGCGGATATGGTACAGGCCAATATATTTACTTCTCTTTTCAATTCCAGTTTTACCCTAATACATTCTATTTTTCAAAAAAATTTGTAATATAACATTCCTTATAGTAAAAACGTGGTTTTCCTGACTTAAAGTGATAAGTTCTGATAATTTTTCAATTGCTTCTTATAAGCAAGAATAGTGCAAGCCATATTTGCAGAGAAACCACAAAAGCAAATAAACTGAAACATGGATATATATAATTCATACTTAATCAGACAACGCTTTTAAGGGTACCGTTGTAAATCGGGCTTTGTCATCTCGGCATGGAGGAGGGTCATTAAAAATTACGCGTACAGTCCCTTTAAATTTAATGTTTAGTTTACCTCTCAGCACAGTAATGTGTTCCACAAGCTAATATTTTCCCACAAGTATCTCCACATGTTGGTGTGGCCTGTGTGCACGGCAGCCTATAATCAGATTTACCACACGGACAGTGTCGGACCAGGCTAAGAGGACAGGGAGGACATTCACCTCAAAAACAGGAATAACAATGGAGTAAATGTTTAAAAGAATTATCCGAAAGCTCCTCTATTATATAAGGAACATATAACTATAACTGGACAGTGAACCCCCCCCCCCTTGATACTTGTATACATTAACTTTCTTCAATTGAACAAGAAAAAAAACACTAAAAAGGCAAAAATTTCTAAATAAACGGGAAAACAAATAATTTTTGAAGAGGGAGAAATAGGGGATACCTTAAAAAAGTCATTACAATAGAATTAGAGGTTTCTCATCGGAGATTTGAACGCTCTCTATTAAATACCCGCCCCCCCCCGACCTCGGCACTACTAGATCCTGT